CAATGTCCCTTCCAAACGGGTTTCCTTGTTTGTGTCCATTTAAACTCATCCCGAGGGGATTCGCTGACACATACACCCAAATGTGGTGCTGGTAGTTTGGCCTGAGCCATGTTGGTCTTGGGGATGTTGGGTTCCCCTAGTTTGAGACAAAACCCATAATATCCCTGGCCTTCCGCAAATAGTTTAACTTCGCCCTCCAGGTTGATCAATTTTTACTTGATTGGGAGGAGTTTTTCTGTTGTGAAGAAACTGGCTTGAACTTGTCAAGCACGCATGCGTCCATGGACGTTGACTTGCCAATACTTCGAGGGTCCACGTGTATTCGGAAAACTGCTGATGCCTAAAGCAGGGTTCCCGACATCGAAATTATTCCGGCGTTTGGCAACGTGAAATGAACGTGACGAATGGACGAGTTGTCCCGTGAATGGACAAGCCTAATTGTAAAAACAAGTGAATGGCAACCCCCGCCCTGAACATCAGGACGGCAAGGAGTTGCAGGCGACATGCGATGCCCATAGCAGGGGTCTTGACATCGCAAACACTTCAGGAATTGGTACTGCCAAGAATCGTGAAATAAATCGTGAATGGACGCGCTGTCACGTGAATCGATAAGTTGTGGCAACTGTGTTTTGATTGATCTGACCACATTTTACCGAACTCTTGGGAGGCCGAGGATCCGTATGGTTTGTCTTATCACGGGACTTTTCAAGAACAGGATGGCGTTTGTGTCGTTTTCCCCCAACCGAAAGAGGTTCCATGAGGTTTCCATGAGGCTATCCCGATATCCCGAAAACAACAACAACAACAAAAAAACACTTCTGGTTGAAATGCTTGAATCAATTTGACTCAGGTTGAGCTGAACAGCCGGCTGCGCTTGCTGACGGCAGACCTTAAGGGGGAGATCATGGCAGAGCCTCGGCTGCAGTGCCTCAAGAGGGAACCCTGTCCATACTTACTAGGTCCCCCAGCCAGGTGCCCTTCTCTCCCCTTTTTTGGGGGAGGGTTCCCATACTACAATAGACTGCGGAAAAACAAGTTGGTACCCTTATTCTAACCTCTCAAATCTGGAGGACCTAGTTGATATGGGCCGGTCTCTTTTGAAGTTGGTACGCTTGACGGGAGGCAGAAATCCAAAAGTTTGCGGGTCCAGGGGCAACCGCCCCATTCCCAGAAAACCAAGAAAGAGAGGGAAAATTGCCGGTTTCTGAAAAAACACAGATACTGTCCGCCAACTAACGGAAGGAATCCAAAAGGGGTCAGATCCCAAAAAGCAGATCCCAAATCAAATCTCGGATTTGCAAGGTGCTTTGCTTTGCTCACTTCCTGAGTTCTTGGACTTTAAACTTATGCTTTCTTGCTTTCTGACCTTCGATATTTTTTTCTTTTGTTTCTTTCTTTCTTGCTCTCCTGTTTTCTTGATTTCTGGCTTTCTGGCTTTCTATTTTCTCTTTTCTTTCGATATGTTTGCTTTCTTTCTTTCTTGCTTTCTTGCTTTCTTGCTTCTTGCTTTCTGGCTTTCTGGCTTACTTTGTTTCTTTCGATCTGTCTTTCTTTCTTGCTTTCTTGCTTTCTTGCTTTCTTGCTTATTTTGTTTCTTTCGATCTTTTCTTTCTTGTTTTCTTGCTTTCTTGCTTTTTGCTTTTTTATTCATTTTCGATCTTTCTTTCTTTCCAGGGTTCAACAGGTTTCCAGCCCTCCCCTCCTTTGGGGCTCCTGCACCTCGGCTTCTCCCTGGGACCCGCTGCCAGGACGTGGCAGCGAGGGTGGCCAATACCGAAGCGTCCGTGGGCTCCATCGAGGCGAGAGCGAGCAGCTCTGACCTCTTCAAAACCACGAAACTTTTCTCGTAACTTTTTTCGGGTGACAGTGGGCTATATGTGGGCGATTTCTGTCAACCAATTTGGATGAGGCCAATTTCAAAAAAAAAACATGGGCGATTTCTGTCTGTAAAAGATGAGAACTTCCCCAGGGCGGGCTTGGAGTTTTTTACGGGGTAAGTTTAAGGGGAACAAAACAAAAGCGCCGAGGGAGCCACGGGGGTTTTATGGACAGGGACAGAGCTTTGGATTTTTTTGATGAGGACTCAGGACTCCAAAGCAGAATCCCTTGATTAACAGGGGTTGACTTCTCTAATAGGGGGTGTCGTCGCCTCTTTGTTTTTGGGGGGGGGAGTTCCTCACTTTGGCAGGGGAGCACCGCCCCTATTGATAGGGCTTGATGAATCCGGGGACAGCACAAATTCTTTCTCAAAGGGACCGATCCTTCCAGGTGGTTGGCTTCCTTGTGGTGTCCCTTCAAAACCGTCCAACAAAAAGGGGTCCCTATTTTAGTTGCAGAGACCCTTCGGCACACTGGGTGGCGCCTTTGTGAGTTGCGTGCGATTGTTTTGTTGCAAGCCTTGCAACTTGCAAGGGGCCGCTCTGGGGCAGGTTTGGGGGCCGTCGTGGAGGCTCCTTGGGCTTTGATGACAGAAATGCATTCGTCCATGCAAAGCCTCAAGTCAGGGAGTTTGCCTTGTCTGGCCCAAAGCGGGCTGCATCATCTTTTGGTTTCTCGGGATCCTCTTTTCTAAGGCCTCAAGGTGTTGCTTTTAGCAGAGGCCTAAGGTTTTCTCTGGCTTTCTTGTCGGATCCATGAGTGGTCCCGGGTCCCTAAAGACTCAGAATCAACATGTCCACGGGCGTGAGCTTCGAACTTCACAACAGTCGCGCATTATGTGTTGACTGTATTTTACTGTTTCTGCGGCTGTCAAAGTCGACAACTGGCTGTGTCGTTGCCCTACCTACCACTTTGGGGGGAGATGACTTTGAACATGGTAAGGTACTGGGGCCCAAAGTATCTACCCCACATGCGTATTTGTCTACGAGCAACTGGCAATGTATATATATATATATGATATATTTACATTTGTTTCTTGATACTATACTAGCACACAGACATACACCCACAGAAGGACGAACACCTGAACCAGTTGGCAAGTGGTTCGCCACACTGTGTCTCGAGTTTCATTTATGGTGGGCTGCGAGTTCGTCCTTCCGGCCGTCCGTTCAGCAGGCGAAGCTGTCCGGTGAGCTCGACAAGATCTGTGAGGACGGTATCCGGTTTGGAGGCTACTCGTGTCAAACAGCCAGACTTGGTTTTCACCCAGTGCTAGACAAGCCGCCTTTTGTAGGTGCCAGGGGGAACCATCATGTAAAGCCCTTGCCAGACACATACCGTAAGTCTTTCCTATAACCAGACCGTTTGCTTCTGACTCTAGCGGGTCGAAGTCTGGCTAAGAGTTGACCAAATGGGAGGGTCAGTCATGGGCCAAAATCGCGGAGAGTCAATTTCGGGTTGAGGACTAGATTGGGGCCTTGCCTTTGGCGGCCTTTGGCTTCTGTTCCACAAAAAAAAGGGAGACCTGTTTAAGCCCAGACAGCCGCATCTAAGGAAGCACCCGGCTGGCGAGGTTTTTTTGTTTTTCTGCAGGACTTCAGGATGAGCCTGCAGAGCCTCAACAAGGCGCGAGTCTTTGTGGCAGCTCAAAATCTTCGACATCAACAGATTGGGTCCCAGGGGTCTTTCATGGGTACCGTTTGACTTGCTGCTTCAAGCAGGGAATGAGGGACATATTGAAATACTCTAAAAGCATCTCCTATGTTTTCCTTCAAGGGAATCCCTAGGTTCATTCCCAAAACCCTGGGTCATTCCCTACTGAGCACCAGCAAGTTAATGCGTAAGTTCGAGAATGTCACTTCAATGGACGCAGAAATTGTCCGTAAATTATCTCGCTCTTTCCCTGAACTTCGCTCCGATTGAACCTCCTCCCTCCTCCTCCTCCTCCTCCTCCTCCTCCTCCTCCTCCTCCTCCTCCTCCTCCTCCTCGTGTCCCTCCACGTCCTCCATCCTTTCCCGATAACGAGGGGGCTTGATACTTTTTGTGTAGCCCATATATTGAGGTTCTTGTGTGTGTTTGTGTTTTCAGGGTACGGTAAATATGCTTCAGAATGCTTCATTGCGTGTTTCGTAGGCAGGCCCAAGGAACCTTTTCACCCGATGTCGGCCTTGGGCCTTGGCAGGACGGAGCTGGGGATAGCTGGGGATAGCTGGCGATTGGTCGCTTCACATGTCCAGAAGTCACCACTTCAATCCGCGCGCACACACACACACACTTTAACAGGGCTCCTTAAAAGATCTCCATTTTGCAACCAATTTGAAACATGTTGCTTTTTCCACCAAAATAAAGGGAAACCTCCATTTGCAAGTTGCAATGTTCAGGTGGATCCTTTGTAAGGATCCCTGTTTAAGGGAGAGCTTGTTTTGGGCGCGAACTTCTTGGAGCGGAGAGCCGAGCCGAGTCGAGGCCCAGCTGGTTCCGCGGGTGAAGAAGCTGGAGGACTGAATCGGATCTGACCAAATCGGTCGACTCGTTGTAAGTTGGTCAGATCAGTGAGATCAGCTGAGAGGATGGAGCCGCTGAGTTTCAAACCGAGGCAAACACAGCCGGTGAATGGATCCAGAAGGAGATGCGTAGTTTTGTTGTTTCAACTAGCGTTTTGACCGGAATCTCTTTGAAAAGCAACTAGCAGCAGAAACAACGCCAGGGGTTTGTCATGCAAATCCACTGAAGGGTCTGGGTCTCTATAAGATGGTGGGGGAGAAATGGGATATATGCACTGGGAGCCTCCACTTGGTTTTTGTGAAAAACACTTGGTGCCTGGGCTTGTCCAGGCATTCTCCAGATCGCCACCAGACGAATCTCCTTTGGGGGCTGCCGCAAAAGGAGATGGGCAGTTTCCTACTAAGACCCCTTTTAACCAACCCAAAAAGACGTACCCTCAGCAAACACACCAGTCGCCCAGCGGCTATTGACAAAAGCGCACTTTTTCGGTCTTGTTGTTGGTAGTTGTGTTTCAGCCCCTTCCCGCCACCCCCCCCTCCCACCCCCCTTCCCGCCACCCCCCCTCCCAACCCCCCCCCAAAAAAAAACAACAAACAAACAAACAAACACCAGACTTTCAAGAGGCTGTCCGGCTCAAGACATCTGATGCCCCAGCCGGCATGCGTGGCCGCGGCCTCTCCGCGGCTTTTTTTCTGTGTGTCCTCGGACCCTCAGTGCCACGTCCGAAATTTCACGGAAACCAACTTGGGTCTGTTTTCTTCTGAGGGTGCCCGTGGTTTGGGCGGTTAAAAGGAAACCAACAGGAAACCACGACGTTTGAGTTGGGGGGAATGCCCTAAAAAAAGACCAGTTCACTTGAGCAGCGTTTTTTTCTCAGATGATGGATTTTAGCTTCGTGGGGAACTCCAAAAAGCTCCGCGAAGGCACTTGTGCGATACATTGTGTACCGCGAAGCCCCGCGAAGCCACTTCGCGTAGCCCGGTAACCTTGACACAGGCGAAGCCACTTCGCGAAGCCACTTCGTCGTTTGAGCGTACTGCGTGCTTTCATGGCAAGTGTGTTGTGCGCTTTCATGGCAGTAGTATTCCAAAGGTTGATGCTTAGAGTCAGCAGGCTACGACAAGATTACAGGAAGATTGCGGGAAGACGACCGGAAGAGCACTGTGCGTTTCAGACTCGGTTTTGCTAGAAACGATGGAACGTTTTCGCAAAGCCTCTGCAAAGCCCCCGCGAAGCCCCCGCAAAGCCTCCGCGAAGCCACCGCGGTCCAACTGCCATGCTCCGCCCCTTTGAGGCCCAGCCATGTCCCCTAGTCCTGAAGCTCAATGCCTCTCTTGCCGCCTTTCATCGAACCCTTTCGCATGGACTCAACTTGATTCAACAACATGGGGGCGCAAATGTGAGAGATGTTTGTGGAACAAACATCCGCGAAGCCCGGCGAAGCCACTCCGCGAAGCCACAGTCTTGCCGCGAAGCCTCGCGAAGCCAACCCTTCCACAAATTCTGGCCCCGCGAAGCCCCCCGCGTAGCCTCCCCAGCAGTGTATAAGCCCTGAACCTCTAAAAAAAACAATGCTCACTTGGGCGTTAGGCTAGAACCATGGCAAACGGGCAATCACCCCAGCCCCCAATTTGTTTATGACCTAAGTTGCTTCCAGAAACACGGGTGGGTTCCCTTGGGAAGCCCATTTATGGGTTGCCCAGAAACACGGGTTACCCAACCGGAGACTATCCTAGTGATTGCTGCATAGTTTATGGCGAGCTCACCTGCGGGTAAAACGAGCTCAAGCCATAAAGGCCCTTGACCTGAGGATCCCTTACTTCAGCTTCTGGAATCATAGTAAACTTTGCAGAAACCGAATCCTAGGTACTGTCACTTGCACTCCCACTCCGGACGTTCGCGCGGAGACCCGCGCCGTCGGAGCTTTTGGGCGCTGCGTTGCTGCAGAGCGTGGAGAAGTCTGGAAGCCGCTCAGCGCAAACCACAAGCACATTGGTATTGGATTGCTTTGGTGATCCTTTAAATTTACAAGCCAAGCTTCTACCCAGCATCAACCCTATTTCAGCACTCCAAGCCCTGCTCCAAGTCTCGTTCCTACACATTTCCACCTCCGAAACCCCATCAACAGAGGAGGTTCAAGGCACCACCTCAACCCCCCCTCCCCGTAACGCGACTCCCCCCAACAATACCTCCACCCCCCCAACAGAATGGCACTCCTCGACAAGGCTACGCGCTCTTGCGTGTCGCCTTTCAGAAGACCGAGCTGCGTGAGCTTCGGACTTTGGACTCGTCGGAAAGGAAGTCCCACGTGCGAGCGCTAGCAGAGGAGCTCGTGGCTGGCGCGGTGGGTGTGATGTTTTTGGAATGGGGGGCCCAAAGCTTTGCTTCCCTCTAATTGGTGGTGTGGTTTGGCGGCTTGGACGCTATGGGGTACCTTTCCCGCTTAGGTGTCAACAGGAACCGGGGTTCTAATTTCCAAACCACAAATCCACACCACCAATTGAGAGGATTACCTGAGGCAGGGGACTTAGTTGGTAGCTTGGATATTGGTGGTTTGGATTCGGACTTGAACCCCTGGCTTTTGTAGAGGGTGAATGGGAAAACCATTCCTGAAGCACCAAACCACCAATCCAAGGCACCAATCCAAACCACCAAATTGGTGGGAAGCTGAAAAAGAAAAGAACGTCTTGGGGAGAAATGGGTGTTTTCACCCTTGTTTGTGAGGAATTGGTGCAAAAACACCTGACATGCGTAACATCCAAATTTGAGGACTCGCAAAATAGGTGTTTTCCTAGTGGTGTCCCTTAAATCAACCTTTTAAAACAGGGAACCTTGAACACACACCCCGCCACACACACTCGGGTGGCTAGTGGTTGCTGGCAAGTTATAGCGAGCTCTGGGGATAAAGAGAGCTCACCCATGAAGGTGCTTGGCTCGGCTACTCATGAAAGCGGGGTCTACGCCCTTTGGTCCCTACATGGTTCGTATCCCAGTGAGTCTTTGTCGGAAGTGGTGTGGGGGATACTGGACCGAACTGCGTCCCCTAAGAACCCCATAGCTGCTTATCAACTTGATGGTTGCCTTTTCTATTTTTTGCTGGAGACAATGTGCTTGTCAGAAGCCACGACATCCACACAACACAAATCACAAGAAGGACCGAAACGCCCCAAGCTCGGGGACCGAGAATAGTCCAAAGCGGGTGGTCAATATTAAACTAGGGGGCCGCAGATCTTAGTCTATGCTTCCATTTGCCAGGGTTTCACCCAACGGAAGGAAACCAACGACAATTGGCATCCCTGAGGCCAGGCCGCCCTGGTGGGAGGACGGGAAGTGGAGGTGCCCGAATTTGTGGTCTGCGGCAGCGCTTTGGAGCGGCCTCTTGACTTCCATGTGCTGAAATTGTCATATTTTGTTCATTTTCCCCGGTTGGCTTTAAAGGAAATCTGTCACTACTTGTTGTTTTTGTTTTTGTTTCGTTTTTCTTTTGAGAAATATGTTTTTATGTTTCTTTCTTTTTTCCCAGGGGTCTAATCCAAATGGAAGTTGAGCGGATGCGAAGCGACTTACTGACTTTGAGTATCGATTCTTTTAGAGTGGACACGGTTTGAACGTGGATGGCACAGTCCCCTCCCTCATTTCATCCCATTTCGGTTCAATCAGTTTACCAACTTTCCGGTGCAATGATTCCAACTTTACCCAACTTTGCCCAACTCGGCGTTCCTTTTTTGGCGCCCAACATTGATTTCCGTTGGCCACGTCAGAAGGATTTCTACTACCTGGTTGAGAAAGGCTTAGAGTAAGGCCTACCATACCTGCCCTGCGCTACCCTGCCCGAATACATCGCCTGCGCAATGAAGTAAAAGTCAGATTTGGGCGCTCAGCTCAGAAGGATGAGGTCCTTTTTTCGTCTTCCCCAAAGACCTGGGGTTGTTGTTTTAGATGCCCACCTGTGAACCGCTTAGGTGGCATGCAACAAGTCGTGGGCTTGGTCTCCAAATGGCAGCGCACATCTGTCTAAATAGGACAATACAAATGCCGAGTTTTCCTCTTGGTTTCCCGAAACAGACCAACCCGAAATAGGGTATGCTGAAAGATCACACCTCCACTCAACTCGAAGATGTTGCATGTCTGGAGTTTACTTCTCATCCCTTCATCCGCATATTCATGATTGTTGTTGAAAAACATTTTACATGTTTGCTTATTGCGGTTTAGTGAGAATCCCCACTTAACTGCTAAAATTGTTTTTTTGGCTCCCCTTCCAACGTCAACCAAGACATTGTCTAGACTTTTCTTCTCGGGACCTTTCGTTGCAAGGCTGCTGACGGAAGTTCTGAAGAGCGGGCAGCTTGTGGGCGCCTGGAAGCTAGTGGCGGAGGAGGGGGCGGGCAAGCGCCCCCGCTGCAACTGGTCGGTTCATTGGCAAAATGGCTGTGGGTCAAAACCAACGGGATCCCATTTTGAGGGATTGGTGCACCACCCATTTTAGAACCCATTTTAGTGGGGATTGGGATGGTCACTGGGGGTACGCGACTTTGACCCATGGCCATGTGATTGACGTCCTTGCGGCGTCCCTTGCGGGGGAATTGCGGGGGGCGGGGGGATCGGCAATTACCCCCGACGAAGAAACCAACGGTTCCGCCGAACAAGCGGGTGGGTTCGGGTTTTGAGCCAACCAAATGGAGAGTTCCCCAAAAAACATACCTTCCTTTTTGCTGGGAGGGGGGGGGGTGGTTTGACATCCACCAACAAACAGGTGTTCTTGTTTCCCCATGGCTGCTGGAGATCTGGCCTCATTCCTGTTGGGGTTTTGAATCTGTGGAGTTGGCGCCGCTTTGGGAGGAAAAGGTTTTGACATCAACAACTGGAGGGTGTCAATCATTGCATGTTTCTGGTTGCAAACACCAACTAGAAGGCCCATGGAACCCTTGTGTGTTTCCTTCTGGGAAGATGTTGAGCACTTACGTGTTTGTTTTTTCCCCCGTTTTTTTCTTCCAAACCTTTCTTCTGATTGCAGGTGTCGGGATCAATATAGTGAAAAAACAGTCAACTCAGCAGCTGAAACCAACAGTGGCCCTGGGTGTCCTTGAGTGGCCCTGGGCAAAGGAGTGTGGCAGCAGCGCTGGCGGCGACCAATCGCAGCTCGCCAGCCATTGCCTCCAAAAACGCAAAGCTACGCACACCATTTGCTGAAACCTGCGTAGCCTCAGCTGTTTAAGTTTGAGCCACGCCCATCTTGAGGCGTTTCTGAAAAAATGTGGACCCCTTTCAATTGGTTTTTGAAGGGAAAGCAGCAGGGGATGCGACTTTGAGTTGGGCGCCTGTGTTTGTCTTTCGAGGAGAGAACACGGACCCCGGGGTCGCGGTGGTGCTGCACGGGCCATTGGACGAGAACCTGCGGAGCTTGTTTAAGGTACCCAACACGGCCTGGGCTCTGCAGATTGCTCCGGAGCTGTTCAAGGAACTGCGCCGGGGTCCTAGTAGCACTTCCATCAGCTGAACTGAACATCTTGTATTTCCCGCCCTTTTCTTTTTAAGGAATGTATCACTATTGCACATGTTTGTTTTTTCCAGGGGCTTCAGCAAATGGAGCCTTGGGGACTCCGCAAACCGGACATTTCCTCCCAGGCCATGAACCCTTCCAGGGCTCTTTTGGGACGGTTGTCTGTAGGGGACCAGCAGTCACGTGACTTTTGCCTACTGGACTCGACCACGATTTGTCTGACAAGGGCCTTCATTTCACGATAATGTGTGGGGACATATATGGAGCCATGATTGAGAAAGGTGGCCCCCAAAAACGAAGAAGTTGCTCAGGCAGTTGAGTTGTGGGCTGGAGGGTGGGGTGGGGGGAGTTCCCCGGCCGGGTTTCCTTGGACCCTGAAGCTCCTGTGAATAGTTCATGATACCTCCTGACATCATCGTACCCTGTGTTCATGGTCGCTAATAACCAGACATGGCCGTGGGTCAACACCAATGGGATCTCATTTTGGGGTAGGTGCACCACCCATTTTAGTCTATTTTGGTGGGGATTGGGATGTTCACTGGGGGGTACGGGGTTTTGACCCATAGCGACATGAATTTGAACAATTAATGACAGCTAGCTTCATTGGGTTACGACGATCAGGAGTTGGACTAAAAGATAGGATTTCGTCATCACCTACAACGTTTGCTGCAGGTAGGACCTCGATCTGTCAGTAGCGAATCAAGCGCAGTGCATACACAACCCTGCGGATCAATGAGACTAGGTCCCCCAGCAGTTCCCTTTTACCCTTTTTTTGGGGAGGGTTCCCCTACTAATATAGACTACAGAAAAAAATTGTTCTAACCTCTATACTGGCAATGGTGGTCGCCTCTTCACTCAGGTGAGCGGGGCTGTCATCTGCAGCTGGTGCTGGACACCGACGATTCCAACGGCACCTTGGCGCCGGAGCTCGGCCGCGCGGCCGAAGACTTCGACCACGGCGTCCTGGTGCTGGCGCGGTCGAGCGGGGAGGCGGAAGATGGGACGAGCGGCCCGGCAGAGGATCGGTGGGACAATGGGTTCCACTTTAAAGGGCCGGCAGCAAAGGACAATGTGCGCAGCATCTGAAAGGAACACACATTTGTTGGCACCCATTTAAGAGTTTTTTTAAGCCGCAAGCTAATTTAGTGGGGAGAGGGACATTATTATTGAAATGCGCGCCGCGCCACACGCGCGGAAGCATGCGGAAGGCTCGCGGAAGGGATTTGTTCGCGGAAGGTTTGCGGAAGCATTGTGGCTGATATAGTTGCGGAAGCATTGTGGCTATACAACTAAATGTTTCAGTGCGTGCATGGAAAAGCTCGGAGAAACGATTCCAGTAGAAGAAAAGGTGTTGCTGCGTACAAGAAACACAACACATACTCGAAGAGCAGATGCCAACAGCAAGCCAAGAAGGCCAAAACAGCCGGCGTATTTCGCGGAAGCTTCGCGGAAGCTCCGCGGAAGGGTGGCCCCGTGTTTGCAGGCAAGTGGCCACGTAGCATGGGTAGCCCAATGGAGCCCAGGCCTACACAAGCTGCGGCGAAACACTACCTCACTTAAAATGACTTTCATTTCTGCGCCAATGCTCGCGGAAGCAAATCTTGTAAACCATGCCCCGCGGAAGGCTTGCGGAAGCAAACAATGAAACACATGTGCCTCGGAAGTTCGCGGAAGGGACCTCTTGGCCCGGGGCAAGGATGCGGAAGGGTCCGCGGAAGCTTGAATAATGTCCAAGCAAGTTTGTAGGGAATAAACACCAACGCTCATTTGGGGTCTTGTATGGATCCTTAACCCTGGACAAGGCCAACGGGGGTTTTGCGTGCCGAGAACATGAGGAACCAGTCTTGTGAACCTATGTCCTTACTCCTCCCAGCTTTCCAGTGCTGTTTCCGTTTTGCGACCTTTGATTGCAACAACCCAGACGCTTGTGCACTCTTCGAAGGGTCCGACCCCTCCCCACCGCTTCAAATGCCTTCTTTTTCTTTCTGGCAGTTTGGTCGCATCTTTTCACTTTAGATTTTTGTTGGTTGAAAACAGGTCGGATTTTCCCTTGGAACTTTTTTGCAGAGAAATAGTTCCAGCAACCAAGCAGTTCGGAACTCGAATGGGCACGCGGACATGAATTCGTTGAAGTCCAAGGCCTGGTTCCCCGGAGGTGGTGGGATTTGCGGCCACGGTCCAAGGCCTACCGGTGGACCCGGGAGGACGGAGTTAGCTGAGCTTAAGGGTGGCTCCCAAGGTTGGTAGCTCAGTTGCTTTGGACCTTTTGCTTGGCCCAGTTTTTGTCCATTTGAAGTCATGCCCCCAAAAGGTCAGCCGTTTGTTACCAGGTGCTTTGGGCAAGTAGCTGGGTCTTCAACCAACTGTGGTCGAAACCATGGTTACAATCCACTGGCCCACTATGAAAAGAATCAAACGTATACCTACTAAGCAAGATTGAACACCCCTACTTGGGACCCCCCCAGCTGGTAAGGCCTTTCGCTTGATTATGCCCCTAAGCCTTGGGGTCTTTTGAGGGGGTCGGGGGGTTCCTTGAAACTGCCTCCATTTTTTTTCCATGACCTCACCTGTCATTGAATTCCCAGACACCAAATGGGAGCTCCCGAAAACAGGGGCTTCCCACTTCCAGGGCTCCAGAATGTTTTTTTGCTTCTTTTTTTTCCCCTTTTTCTGAAGTCCACGAAGCCCCATAAAACCTTCCACTTCTTTCATATTCTATTTTTCCGGGGAGGTTCGCAAGGTCTTTGTTTTGGCTCAGGAGGCCTCCACCTACCTACGCTTTGCCCAGCTCCGTTCCCTCGTCGCCACCGGCAGCGGCGACGGCGGCGACGCGGCGGCGGCGGCTGTGGCGGCGCTGCCGCGGCGGGAACTGCGGCGGAAGCTGCGCTCGGCGAGGAAGAGGGATTGGGTGGGAGGCGAGTGGGGCGGGGAAAGGGGGGGAAGGGGGGGAAGGGAGGGAGTCAGTATATGGAGACATGCGGTCTATGCAATCTTCTTTGGAGTGTTGGATTTTTTTCAGGGGGGGATTGATGCGGTCTGCATCTCTGTGTCCATGGGGAAAGGCCTCCAACTTCACCTTTGTTAGATTTGCTGTATTCATTCAATGTTGAACCATTTAGGTGTTGACATCTCGTTCCCTTTTGCTCAAGTAAGTTTCCGTTCTCGTTATTTGCAAACAAATGTGACAAGTGCTTCAAGTGCCCAAGGAGTTTCCTTGAGACATAGGTGAGGGAGGTTTGGGGCGGCAGGTTGGGGGAGGTGTGGAAAAACCGATAGGCTGGACGCCTCTGGAGCTGGCACACATCGATGCTGGCGCTTAAGCGCTTGATCCGGAGCTCGACTCGTGATGCGCCGCTTTGATCATGACTTATGAAATGTAAACCCCAAAGAGGGGAATTTCATAAACTTAAACGGAGTTTTACAGTGTTTGTGTGGGCCCTTGTAGCAAAGGTAAAGCAAGTAGAAATAAACAACATGAGAAACTTTCGACTTTTGGCCACTGTCAGGAAGCAACCTGAGCGAGCATTTGGTGATGTATTTGGACGAGACCGAATCCAAGCCGAACTGGAGAACTGCAGCTGCGGATGCTGCCCGTGCAAGATCGTGCAGGTCATTTCGCTTTGGCTGCTGGAAATGAGCAGCGCTTGGCATGTTTCGGCCGAGCTTCTGTGATGACCCTATGGGCATCCATCTATCCGGACAGGCGAATGCTAATGCGAAACGCTACCGAAGACATGGTTTCGGTCGAGGCGGGCTTCCTGAAGCTCAAAGTGACCCATCGTCAGTGACTCGCTTCGCTAGTCTGCCTCTGACTTGGGCCATAGGGACACGATCCATCGCATCGTTTGTCTATGGTTCAACATGTTCAATCTGTGCTGCGAGTTGCGTGGATTGGCATATCCGTCGTGTACTTGGAGCATCCTTTCCCGCAGAGTGATTGCTGAGCTCAGATTGAAGGGTTTCTCCCTCAAAAGAGAAGTCTCACCCATTCAACAGGGAATCAAAGATCACTTGGCAAGGCAAGCCTTTCAAAGGGAAACCTCCCTCGCTTTGGAGTAGGGGCGGTAGGGATGACTTTGAGAAAAGTCCTCAGTCGGGTACTTAGAGAATCAGTGCAAAGGATGCCATGACCATTTGGTGGCGGTCTAAGAGGCCCGCATGCCAGTATGGCACGCATGTTTCATCTCCCAGGAGCAGGCGGAGAGGACAAATCTGGTCCTGGCCACAATTCAGGAGGCAAGTCGCTGGACGTTTGTCAGTTGGGTGCTAAATAGCTCGATCGTTGTTAAGCCCTCCCAAAACAAGCCAAAAGGGGATGGAGTTGTAATTTGTCAGACCCTCCCCCAAACTAAGCACCTAGTTAAAAACACCCTTTTCTAAGAAAACAGCAACCTGAAGGGGGGGCCGCAAGGGGAAGTGTGCTTTGATTAGTTTAGTTATACCCGCCCCTTTGGAAGAAAACAACAACCATCATATCACATTACATCCGCGGGGAAGCCAGAAGAGGACGTGGCTAAGAGACGGACATATCTCTACTTGCTGATGCTCAGCAGAGAATGAGGGAATGAACCCTATAAATTATCCATTGAGGTGTCCTTTCATGATTTTTTTGGGGTTCATTCCCTCATTGCCTACCTACCTCACCAGCAAGTCTACCCTGCAGAAAGGTTCAATCAGGACCCTTTGATCAGAACCTACAAAGGTTCGGTTCCAAGAACCCTTCCTGGGAGAAGGGCTGGTCTTTGGTTTCCTCCTCGCCGTTCAAGTGCTGTTCGCGTCAGGAGAGTTTGCTGCGTTTGCTGCGTGCCCCAAAAGTACATGCCTCAATCCCATGTGCCCGGTAAATTGGGAGGTACCAAGCTGTACATGGTTTATACAAGAGCTACACAAGAGCTACACAAGGGCCACAAGGGTATGTGTGTAGTTGGGCACCTGCCCTGCGTTGCGCTGTTGTCTCCCTTCCTCAGCCCTGTGGAGGAGGGTCAAATTCCAATGCTTTGGTTGCATTTGTTTCATTGAGTAGGCTCTAGTCGTGGTTGTGTTCCACTTTCACTGGGTGGGCTGAACATGTGTCCACCAAGCAGTCTCAGAGCATTGGTGTGTCCCCCACGGTTGTGGTTCACTTTCTGTTGCGCTTGGGATGAGAAATCAACCACTTTGTCTCACATGAGGCCACCATGAGGGCGGTGCTCACTTTTATGGGTTTGTCTCCGACATAGGATGACCCACAAATCAAACGCCCGCATCACCTTGTTTCCCTCGAAGGTATCCTCGAAAAAGGGTGCAGTGCCAATCCAGTTCCTGAATCTCCCACAACCACGAGGGTCACTGAGCAAACTGGGCTTCTTCTTTGGTGCTGCTTAAACACATTCCAACATGAAATTCCTTTTGGACTGAAGCGAAAGGGGGGACCGCAGGAAAACCATAGGAATCGTGGGTTCGGAACCGGAGCCATGTTTACCCCTGTCCAGGCACGAGGACGCGTGCCCAGTCAGCCCACGCAGGCGAGGCATCGGGTCCGTCCACAAACCAGGGCCCTTTTTTTACAATTGGGGAAGCAACCTTTGGGTCATGACCCAATGGCCAGATTTAGTCTTTGGTGCATTTTGCTTGGATGTTAGGACTTTAACTGTTTGCCAACTAATGGGTTGTCCATTAAACCACTAGAAGTTAAACTTGATGCATTCTTACACTGGCAGTGGCTTGGCGCTGGAGCCGGATCAGAGCTATGTCACTGATAGTGGGGTAAGTATAATATCGGTTGATTGTTTTGACGTGCATTTGTTTCGGAGGACAAACACATAAACAAACAATCCACGCAGGCGATACCACAGGTCTGATGAGGCTAAAGCGAAACCAAGGAACCACTTGTCAAAGAGGCGCCTCAAAGGGTCATCATGTTGGGCTATTGTAAACGCTTGGCGAACGTAGTGTTACCAGCTGTGTTGTGTTACCCACTTTTTGAGGGACCGTTTGTTGGAGTAAACTGTTGGGGCTAGCATGCCTGCTTCTTTTGTAGGCAAACGTAGCTGATGGAAAACTACGACTTCTGTGACAGCACCGGTCCTCGCAAATGGCCAATACCTCACCCTGTCAGTTTTGTTGGCAACCAGGGGAACCTTTTTAAACTCTACGAGGATCGTAATTGTTTCGAGTTACTGGCGGCTTGCCTGGGATCCACTGGGCCATTTTCTCTGGCAGGAGTGGCTGGTTAGCCGAACCAAGTTGCTACCCAACTTCGAACCCAGGTGGATCTTTTCGAAACCAGGAAGCACAGGACACGTCCTAATTTTTACCAAAACCTTTAGCCTCTAGCGGCTGTCTATGGGCATGGGCAGGAACCAGAGAAAGACCTGCGGGTGCCCCCTTTGTCGGCGCGATTGTCTTCGGACCGGCAGGCAGAGGGAAGAAGGCGCGCCGACTGGACCTCGAATTGATTCGACTGAGAGACTGCTGCTGGGATATCTTGTGCAACATGTTGCGAAGCTTTTGTACGCAGTGCTTCCTACCTTAGTGGGCAACAAGGGACTTATCAGCCTAGAGGAAAACAACTCAGTTTACCTACTGGAAGCATTGGCTTACATTTGAATCAAAGTTCATTGAATATGTTCCAGAACCAATTTTGGTTTTAAGGTTAACTTCGGATTAATCCTTAAGACCACTAGTCAGAAGATCCCATTAAGATAGATGGTTTCCTGACTACAAGGGGATCCACCCCGGATCAGCATGGTCCACCGGATCAATCCAAAGTGAACGTTAAAGTTCACTGCATCAGGGGAGTTTCAATTTACAGGTGGTTTTCCTTGAAACTGCCTCTTTTGAAGGTTCCCAAGAACAGGAAATAGAGGAAACCCTGTGAATGTGAACCGAACCAAAGACGTCAAGTTGTGGTTGGGGGAATCAACTTTGAAAGACTGGCGATGGACTTGTTGGTGACGATGGAATCGTTGGTCAGAGGAAAGAAAGGGGTCGAAAGTCCAGAACATGGCCACATTTCCTTGTATCAACCTACCTCCAGTTCAAAGGGAATTTAAAGTTGGGGCTCGTCTCCGGGCACATAGTGCGCTCTCCCTTGCGTTTTATTGTTGTCAAGGGCCCAATGGTGGACGGCCACCGTGCTGTAGGCCTTTACAAGATGCTCAAATCAGAAGGATTCAAACTTGGTCAACGAGTTCATTTGGCTTTTCATAGCCTTGGGCACGCTCCGACTGCGGCGAAGTCACGCGTGAGAACATCGCCCACACCTGCTGGGAAGCCTTCTAAACGCGCTGCATCCAGGGCGTCCGGGATTTGCCCGCTGGATGGCAAGATGGAAAGATCGACATGTGCCAGAAGTGTTTCACACCGGCGCGACCCCAGACCCCGCGCGACCCCAGACCTCGCCCAGGCATTGCCAGCAGTGCGCACCAGATGGAGGGTTTGGGAATCTTGTTGGGCCACCTTTCTGGTTCGGAACTTCTGGTTGCTGGATTTCCCAGTGCTTTCCAGCCAGAATTGGTTTCCAGCGGGGCTTCTCGCCCACCCAGCGGAATTGGGTTTTTCACCACTACTTTCCTTTTGGCTTCCGGGTCCAGCACAGCAAATAGGTTGTTTCCCAGCTCCCCAGCCAAGGCGACAGCAAAGGGCTGACGCCGACTAATCAACTAGTGCTTACTTCGGATTGAAGCAGGGTCGCTTCAGATCAATCGAGAGTTTCTTGTAGGTGAGAAGACGACGAATTTTAGGAGAACAGCTTTGATTCACGCGATCCTCCGCCCATGGGACGCGTCAAATTGGTACTGATCAGAAAAAGTCCTTGGCACAAACGGCTAGCAACCTGACCCGCATTGTGAATTCAAAGGTGCCCAAGACGCAAGCGCTATTTGGGTGTTTGGTTGGGGTTGGAGGTTTGGGGATTGGTGTTTTGGTTTGGCGGGGTTTGTGCGATTGGTAAGGGGGCAGCATTTGGTTCCCAGTGATTTCCTCTTGTACAGCAGAGCTTGCAACCCTCACTGCGGGAGCTGCCGCTCTGACAATGTGGGCCATAGTGCGCCTTCATGGGGCGTCGCGGGATCTCGCTTGCAGTACCATCCTCAAACAAAGCAGTGGCATGACACATCAGTATGACTGCGAAGGCTACCCGTCCGCCCGTCGGCGTCTCAGGTTTCCAACAGGCCCTTTTCGATGTTCTAGGCCTGTGCAGCTCGCAGGGCCTAGAGGGTGCGTTTGTTTAGGGAACCCCCCACTTTGGTTTTACAGGGAACACCGCAGAAAAACAACGGTTCTAGAAACGCCCCAAAGTTTCAGACAAACCCCTAATGCTCCCTGCAAGTGAAGCTGGCATCCCCTCCACGTTCCATGGAAACACGTTGCCAGGTCCCTGGAGCCGCGGGAGCGATCACAGGCGGGGGTTTTCTCTTGTATAGGAGGGTCAACCGGCGTTTGTTTTTGGGGCCTTCGCCTTCTCCCCCTCCCCAAACAAAAAAGGAAGAAAAGAACCACTGTGTCAGCTTCCGTACCGAAAGAAGCAGAGAGCACATTTTTGCAAGGGCCCTCAGCCAAGCACGTGACGCTGAGATGGAACTGCATTTGAGAGATGTGCACGAAGAAGTGATTGACCATAAGAACCCCTCCGTTCGCCCATATGTGTGTTTCTCATATATTCGGGACAGTCTCATAGAATGTTGGCTGATTCCTTCAGATTGTGCCTTTTGGTCTCTCTTAAAAGCCAAAACGGGAGGTG